AGTCGGTGGGGTCGGGCTCCAAATTCCTCAATAGGACACCCATAGCACAAAAGTTAATAACTAGAATCAACAAATGGGACTTACTCAAACTAAAAAGTTTTTTCTCAGCAAAAGAAACAATAAGAGAGGTAAATAGGGAGCCTACATCCTGGGAACAAATCTTTACTCCTCACACTTCAGATAGAGCCCTAATATCCAGAGTATACAAAGAACTCAAAAAATTAGACAATAAGAGAACAAACAACCCAATCAACAAATGGGCCAAGGACCTGAACAGACACTTCACAGAGGAGGACATACAGTCAATCAACAAGTACATGAAAAAATGCTCAACATCTCTAGCTGTCAGAGAAATGCAAATCAAAACCACCCTAAGATACCATCTCACTCCAGTAAGATTGGCAGCCATTAGGAAGTCAAACAACAACAAGTGCTGGCGAGGATGTGGGGAAAAGGGTACACTTGTACATTGCTGGTGGGACTGCAGATTGGTGCAGCCAATTTGGAAAGCAGTATGGAGATTTCTTGGAAAGCTGGGAATGGAGCCACCATTTGACCCAGCTATTCCCCTTCTTGGTCTATTCCCTAAAGACCTAAAAAGAGCATGCTACAGGGACACTGCTACATCGATGTTCATAGCAGCACAGTTCACAATAGCAAGACTGTGGAACCAACCTAGATGCCCTTCAATAGACGAATGGATAAAAAAAATGTGGCATTTATACACAATGGAGTATTACTCTGCATTAAAAAATGACAAAATCATAGAATTTACAGGGAAATGGATGGCATTAGAGCAGATTATGCTAAGTGAAGCTAGCCAATCCCTAAAAAACAAATGCCAAATGTCTTCTTTGATATAAGGAAAGTAACTAAGAACAGAGTAGGGACGAAGAACAGGAGAAGAAGATTAACATTTAACAGGGATGAGAGGTGGGAGGGAAAGGGAGAGAGAAGGTAAATTGCACGGTAATGGAAGGAGACCCTCAGGGTTATACAGTGGAGGGGGTAGAGAGAGAGGAGGGGAGGGGAGGGGAGAGGTGGGGAGGGGGGAGGGTGGATGATGGGAAAGGCAGCGGAGCACAACAGACACTAGTATGGCAATTTGTAAATCAATGGATGTGTAACTGATGTGAATCTGCAATCTGTGTATGGGGTGAAGGTGGGAGTTCATAACCCACTAGAATCAAAGTGTGGAATATGATATGTCAAGAAATTTGTAATGTTTTGAACAACCCACAATAAAAAATTAAAAAAAAAAAAAAAAAGATTTGGTTTTCATTTGCTCTAAATTTAGTGATTTTTCTCAAATAAAATCAGCGTGCAGATGACCAAGATGAAAAGAAACAGCCTCTGGAGAAGTGATGGATGGAGATGATCACGAAGAACCTCAGTCTGTGCCCCAGCTACCACCCAGCCTCGTCTCCACGTCCCTGGTCGCTCTGGCTAGTGGCTTCCCGTGAAGAATTTATATAAATTTCCAGGGACTGCATAACCAAAAGCCAGACAACACTCTTCACCGAATCATGCATAATTTCTAATCCCTTACTTAATAATTACTTAATAATTTGTGTCAGCACAGCAGAAAGTGGCTGGAATTAGCACTGCACACATTTGTGCAAATTGGAGAAAGAATAATAGAAGAAATCATCGCGGCCTGAATGTCAGTGGAGGGCTCGCGCTTAGTCTTCTGGGTTTGCTGGCTGTGACAGAACCGTGCACAGGCCTTTGTAATCATAGGTGCCTGTCCTGGTGCCCAGAGAATCTGAGAAACACAACCCTCCGTGCTGGACCAGCAAACCCATAGTCCTGTGCTGCTGAGGGGTCCTGCTGTGTCTTCTTCACCGCCCCCCACTCCTTTGCAATTAGTTCTATTACTACTATTCACTTGGTGAGACCGTGGAGTTCTGTGCCAGCCAGTGCCATGAGTTAAATCTGGAAGACGCTGATGGTTGAAAGTCATAGAGTCACACATTTAGTGTCCACCCCTCATGGCATGCTGGCCCGTGTACCCATTGCAACCCAGAAAGGGGGCCAGCCTCAATGGACAGATTTGGGGAAAGGCTCAGAGAGACTAAGCAGATCACTACATTCCTATCTGGGTGCTTCAGTACAGTACAGGGAGACAGTCTGGTCCCGGGCCCCTGGACCTGGAGTCCATTAGGGGAGAAAGATGGGGGCAAACAAGCAGGCAAGGGAGGGAGGAGGGGCTGGCGTGGGTAGAGGGCAGCGGGGTGTAGGCAGGTGGCAGATCAAGGACCCTCTCTGAGGAGGTGCTGTTTAAAGTGCCACCTGACTGATGGGGGCAGCTGACCCTGGGAATTGCCGAGTGTCAGAAGGGATGGCACATGCAGAGGCTTTGGGGTGAAGTCCTCGGTGTCTGCGTTAGCCAGCTCTCCTGTCCTGTCACAAGACACCCGAGGAAACCAAATTATAAAGACGAAAAGTTAATTTGGGTTCATGGTCATGGAGGTTTCAGGCTTGTTGCTTGGGCCAGTGGCAGCACAGCTTCCCACGGCGGGTGCCCGTTCACAGGGAGAGGAAGTGAGAGAGGGAGGGCAAGAGGCTGGGATCCTCCCGTCTGCCTCAAGGACACACTCAGTGAACTAGTACCTCCCACCTCGGCAAGGCTGCCACCCTTCCGATGATGCCACAGGCTGCGGACGCAGCCTTTACCACATGGGCCTTCGGGGACTCTCCAGATCCAAGTCTAGCAGTGTCCTGAGGACACCTGGGCATCCGGAACCTGGTGAGGGAGGAGGGGTGGCCCAAGGTGAGGCTAGAGGGTGGTCAGAAACTGCGGGGCCACCGTGGAGGTTGAGAGGGACGCATGGCACTGGACACCAAGGTCATCCAGGGATTTGGAATGCTCCTTTGAGCCAGTGCGAGGGGTACATAAGGAAAGATGCCCGGGCACCGAGCTCAACAGGAGAAGGGCAGCGGCCCGTGGCCCCGGCTCGGAGAGCTCGTTCCTGGCCCTCTGCGTGCCCGGGTTTGCACCTCTGTGGCTGGGGCGGTGCCTGAGTGCAGGTGAGCCAGCTCTGAAGTCGCCGGAGAAAATCTCTCCACCTGTTACCGCGACAGAACAGACGCCAAAAAATATCTCCTGAACTCCTACCAGCAGTCCGTCCTGAGCAATGAACTTGCCAAGTAATACTCTCAGGGCTCTATCCTGAACCCTTTGGTGATGGCTAATAGTGGGTGACCACTTGGCTGGACGTACACATCGTTCTCATCCAACACTTTTCCACCTGTTTTAAAATTTTTTTTCATAAGTTGCTATTTTTTTAAATTTATTTTTATTCTAATTTGTTGTACATGACCGCAGAATGCATTACAATTCATATTACACATACAGAGCACAATTTTTCACTTCTCTGGTTGTACACAAGGTCTTCATACATGTACCTAGGGTAATGATGACCATCGCATCTTTCCTACTCCCATGTCGTCCCCTCCCTTCCCCTCCCTCCCCTGTGCCCTATCTAGCTTCAATGTTTATAGCAGCACAATTCACAGTAGCTAAACTGTGGGACCAACCTAGACGCCCTTCAGTGGATGAGTGGGTAAAGAAAATGTGGCATCTATACACAGAGGAATATTATTCAGTATTAAAGAGAATAAAACCATGGCATTTGCAGGTAAGTGGATAGAGTTGGAGAATATCATGCAAATGAAGTTAGCCAATCCCTCCAAACCAAATGCTGAGTGTTTTCTCTGATTTAAGGGGGCTGACTCATAATGTGGTTGGAGGGCTGCGTGGGGGGGATTAGGTAAACTCTTTTCCACCTTTTTGGAAGGTGTTTTTAAAATGAGATGAGATTTTGGGTAAAGCAAAGGAAGGACTGTCCACTCTGTGTGTGAACCTCAGCCAATCAGCCCAAGGTCTGAAGGGAAAGAGAATGACCCCCTGTTCTCCCCAAACAGGAGGGGCTATGACAGCAGATGGCCTGTGGCTCCAAACTGCTTCACTTCCTGGTTCTCCGCCTGCTGCCTGCAGATTGTGGACTGGCCAGCCTGCCCAGCTGGTTCCTTAAACTGCATCCCCTCTCTCACTTCCTCCCTCCATCTTCGTGTTTCTCTTTCTCTGGAGAACCCTAATACACACCTGACATCTACCCATTTATGCCCATCTGACAGAGGAGGAGACTGAGGTTCAGAGGTGTTCAATACCATGCCCAGGGGCACAGAGCAGTGAGCAGGGAGCCAGGATGCCGGGGCAGGTCTTTCTGGGCCACCACACAGCACAGCTTCTTGTGTGTTCATTTATGAATGAGAACGCAGCAGCCTACCTGTAACACACTGCGTTTCCCATGAAGTACTTTCCTTTTTTAGTGATTCACAAACCACCGTGGCATCTCATGGCGCATGAGAATCGTCAGTGTTAATACCTTATCAACCAGGCAACAGGCAAAAATGCCCGACAGCAGAGAAGGTTGCCCAACAGCACGGTGTGTAGAGGCTTCCCTTCACTTTGCTTAGCATATTTAGGACCCTATAGATGCTCCTTATATTCATAATTTAAAAAAAATACTCAGAGTACCCATATCATTTCATACACATCTCAAGCACCATGAGAGGGAATGACACTTTAACACTTTAAAATGACACTTTAAAATTAGATGGTCACACTTTAAAATTAACCTGTTTTGCTGGGTGCGGTGGCGCACGCCTATAATCCTGGTGGCACGGGAGGCTGAGACAGGAGGATTGCAGGTTCAAAGCCAGCTCAGCAACATAGTGCCCCTGGGTCCAATCCCTAATACACCCCCCCAAATTAACCCATTTGAGAATGAAATTTTATTAATGATTTAAATTAATTAATTGATTGACTTTTAATGCACACATCGAGTCCTGAGCTGCTCCACGTCTTTGACTGTGGGCTAAAGTCCCCTGGTGAGGTCTCAACTTCAAAAGTGACCCCAAACTGGATCCTTTCCATAGGAAAAGTCAGCAGTAAACATTGACCCCGGGATCAATTGTTTCTGTTTAAGTTCCAGACGGTCCTGTGGGAGGGAGCAGTCGGGTCACATTTGACAAAGACAACAGGTCTCAGGAAGGGTTGTCACCCTGGAGCTGCAGAGGGAGAGTCTCTGAATTGAAACCTTCTGCTCACGATGGCGCTGGCCATGAAGGTGCTGGTGATGCTGGCTCTGGGGATGGACCTCGGGCCTTGCTCAGGTAGGGAGCTCGACAGGCCACCTGCTCTTGGGGACACGCAGCCTTCCCCTCTCACGGTGGCCCGTGTGCTTGTGCGTCCAGGTTTCCCCGTGTACGACTATGATCCCTCCTCCCTGCGGGAAGCCCTCAGCGCCGCGGTGGCCAAAGTGAACGCTCAGTCCCTGAGCCCGTACCTGTTCCGCGCCTTCCGAAGCTCCGTAAAAAGAGTAAGTGCCCCTCGCCCGCCTCCTCGCTGTCCGTCCTGCCTTTGGCCAGTTGGCTGGTTGGACTCTGGTTTGTTTTCCTGGTTTAGGAAGGTCACCCCCTTCACACTGATTACTTGGGACAGGGAAAGGATCTCATTACAATTTGTCACAAGGTCCTGGAGTGGCTCTGGGGGCAGACCCTGCTGCGTCCTTCCCTCCGACCCTGCCCGGTTCTCTGCCTGCTGCCCGCGGTCCTCGCTGCTCCTGGGTCCCCAGCGCTGCTCGCTTATTAGCAGTGAGCCTCCTTTCCCCTTCAGCAGTTCTGCTCTGAATGCTTGCAGGAAAAAAAAAACCCAGCTTTGGAGCTGAAGAAATCCACCTTCCTTTGTCAATTGACAGTGCCCTGTTTCTAACAGCCCGAGAACTTTAGTGAGAGAGGAGTTCTCACGGGTTTCCAATGACTGGGTCTGGAAAGGCAAGGAAAAAACCCTAGATGCTCCTTCAGAGGAGACGAGAAGCCAGGCCTCGGGGCCTCCCTCCTTCCTGTCCCCGGGCAGCTTCCCTGTCTGGCTGTCATCTTAATGGGGCTCTGGGGAGGCAGGGACAGAAAGGCCCTCAAGCTAATTTAGGGGGTTCTTTAAGGTTTCCTGTCACAGGTGACGTCTGCGCAGCCAGACTCGCAGCAGCAAGAAGGGAGACGGGCAGCCTCCAGGCCTCAGCTGAGGCCTGAAGCCCTTGCTCTCCCGCTGCCTCTCGGTCCCCTGCTCTCCATTCTGGGGCCCTCCTCAGCTCACAGGAGGCCGTTCCCCCCACTCCACAGGGCACGCGGTTCGTGGATTCCTGGCCCCATCTTCAAACATAACAGCCATCTGGACCTCCTCCTTGGAAACTGCCTCAGTTTCTTTTTTTTCCAAATTAATCGATCTTCCCAGTTGGCTTTTCTAACTGGGTCGTAGGTCATGAAGAGTAGGGCTACGCTTTAGGTGGGTGCCTATCCCAGGCCTGGCGTTCATGGTCAGGCGGGGCTATGTACACCTGGAGGCTGTGCTGAGGAGGCCCTGCAAGGTAGGCTTGGTCAGCCTCTGAGACTAAGGCCCAGCTGCAGGAGGAGAGCTGGGTCAGACCCAGCCTCTTCCTAGTCCACTGCTGCTACATTGGCCCCAAATGCCACATGGAATCCTCGTGTAGTGTTGTGGAATCCATGTCCCCTTCCAAGCTTGAAGATCAACATTTACATTTACTTGTGATTTAACTATTGCTCTCTACGGGACAAAGTTAGTGGTTAATTAAATGAGTCAGAGCACGAGGACACATACCAGGGGGACTGATGAGGAATATCATGGAGATCTGGCCTGCGGAGATGAGCTACTGTGAAGTGCAGTCACCCAGGCACATTCCAACACATGCGCCATCTTGATGTGGCTACACAGACCTGAGCCCAGATACGTGCACCTAGAGATGCATTGTTAGATGATGTGTGTGGTCCCTGCAGGTACATAAGTAAGAGACACCTGTCTGCCACAGTACGCTGCTCTTCCCCTGGGAAGTCTGCCTGTTCTTGCCTGCTCTCAGTCTTTAAGGATCACTCATAGTCATGGGGCAAGCTACATACACCACGTTCTATCTTGGAAAACTCATTTTTTCTCTCCCATTTTAAGAAAGAACCCTCTTCTTTGATCTCTCCTGGTGAGACTTGTCTCCCCTTGGAAGTGCCTCTCGTTTTGCTCTGTGTTGTGTGTGTCAACCATGTCTTTCACAAACACCCTGTAGATGACCCCAAATAGGCCAATTCTCTGTCCCCATTGGGGGAGGGGCATGACTTTAGCAGTGACGTCTTCTTCGCTCCAACTCTGACATCAGATTCACCCAGACTGTTCCCTAAGTGGACACAAGTGCAGAAGGGAAAGGTGGACACAGGCCCTGGGTTGGGGACATGGAATGAAGAGGACAGATTCTCCTGGGGAGGGAGGAGAGGCAGGTCCAGGGAGGGGCGGGTGCTGTGGAGAAGTCCAACAGGCAGCGCCCTCACGAATGCACGGGGCGTTTTGTTACAGCAACAGGCAATGGACTGAGCACAGACTGAGACCACCGCCTACCCGGGCCCACCCCAGCACCTCTCCAGTCTTGACTTCTTCCCTGCAGCCCGCTGTACAGAGCAGCCGGACTGATGGGTGTGGCCAGGCTGGGGCAGCAGTCAGCGGCGAGGGTCTCCATGGAGACGGTCATGCCTGAGACTCACCTGAGTGATGAGAAGTTGAGGCCACGGGAAGACCTTTAGGGGGAGGTTTGGAGGGTGCTGGGCAGAGCCAGGGGGACAAAAGGCCCTGGAGAGACCGGAGCCCTGTGAGCCAGGGAGGGAAAGATGAGAAGGAAGCGAGGTCAGAGAGTGAACATGAGCTGGGAAATGAGGTCTGGGTTTTGAGGCCTTAGGGCCACAGGTGGCCACAGGGAGATTTTAAGTGGAGAAGACATTTGCATTTGTAGATCTCACTCTTAGGCAGCAGGGGCTACTATACCAAAGTACCACGGACGGGGGGAAATATGAACAAAAGAAATTGGCCTCTCACGGTCCTGGAGCCCAGAAGTGCTAGATCAGAGCAGTGCCGGTTCTGGGAGGTCCATCTTGCAGGTTGCAGAAGGCCGGCTTCTCCTGGTATTTTCACATGCAGAAAGAGAGCCAAGCTGCCTCTCTGGCCTCTTCTCGTAGAACACTCGCCGTTCCTGAGGGCTCCCCCCCCAAGACCTTCTTACCTCAAATGCTCCCCCTCCAAAGGCCATCACAAGGGGCCAGGGTCTCCACATATAAATTGGGTGGGAGTGAAACATTGGGTCCACTGCCGTCTCGCTGGCTGCCATATGGGGTGGGGTGCAGGGGAAGAAGTGAAGATTGGGGAGACGTTAGGGTGGAACCCAGGTAGACGGGTGCCTTAGTCTGTGTCTTAGTTCATTTTCTGTTATTATAGCAAAATGTCTGAGTCTTAGTAATTTGTAAAGAAAATGGGTGTATTCAGCTCAAAATTCTGGAGGCTGAGAAGTCCGAAAATCTCCCCAGTGTTTGGTAAGGGCCTTCCTGCTGCGTTGTCACATTGGAGGCATCACATGGCCAGAGAGCAAACACGGAGATGGCACGTTTAAAACAAAGCCACCCCCAAAACACTACGTTAATTTGAAGGGATGAATCCACCCAGGAGGGTAGACCGCTGAGCACCCAGTCATCTCCCCAAAGGTCCCTGCTGCCAACACTGCTATATGGGGCACCAAGTTTCCAAACCATGAATTTTGGAGGACACATTCAAATTATAGTGGTCAGCTTCCTGTTAGACTGCAGCAGAATCCCTGAGACTGGGCAATTTACAAGAGAAGAAATGCATTTGGAGTCACATTTGGAGGTCACACTCAGGCAACAGCAGCGGCGATGGCAGCTCATCCGGGGATGGCATGGAGGAGGGGACAGGTAGGAGCATCCGGGATACACTTAGACGCAAAGCCACAGGAAGCCCGTGACCCTTAAAGTGTCTAGGCTCATTTTGGTCCATTTTTGCCTTTTATTTGATTTTTTGTTTTCTAAATTATTCTCAGCCAGTTATTTCTGTTCATTACTCTTTGTCCATTAATAAGGAATTCACTTAATTCAGGATTCTCCAGAGAAACAGAACCAGGAAGGTTCAATGCTCTTGCTAGGGTTTAAACGTGGTCCCCAAAATTCATGTGTTACAAAAACGTCCTCAGGGGGCTGAGGGTGTAGCTCAGTGGCAGAGCGTTTGCCTTGTGTGTGTGAGGCACTGGGTTTGATCCTCAGCACCACATTAAAAATAAAATAAAATAAAAGTATTGTGACTGTCTACAACTAAAATAAATAAATAATTAAAAGGGTGGATTAAAAAAAAAGAGACCTCAGTGCAGCTGTTGGGACAGGGACCTTCACAAGGTGACAGGGTGGAGGGCTCTGTCCTCACGGAGGGATGGATGCCGTCATTATGGGACTGGCTAGCTGATGCAGGACTGGGCTCCTGATGAAAGGATGACTTTGTCCCTTCCACCTCTCCTGTGGGTGCTCTTTTGCTGCGATGCCTCTGGCGACATTATGATGCAGCAAGAAGGTCCTCACCAAGGGACACCCTTGATCTCGGACTTGGAAGCCTCCAAAACTGTGAGAAAGAAACCTCTATTCTTTGTAAATGACTCAATTTTGGAGATTCTGTGATAATGGTATGAAATGAACTGGTGCTGAGATGGGGGCTGTTGCTGTATTAAATGCCTGACATTTTGGAAGCTGCTTTGGAGGTGGGGAACGGGCGGAGAATTTGGAGATGCAGTTAGAAAAGGCCGAGGTCTCCATGAGTGTAGGATTCGGGGCAATTCATGGGTGGCTGTCCTGCATGGAGAGCCTGGATCTCAGGTCACCCCAGGGGTTGTAACCAGAATGTTGGTAGACAGATGGACAGAGAAGGCCATTCTCACGAAGCCTCAGACAAATGACGATACTGAAGGTACTGGAAGTCAGAGGGAGGCCAAGCTGGTGATTTAGCTGCGAAGTGCTGGGCTGAATCATGACCCTTTCCTAGGACTGAGAGGGACGCAGAACGTAAGAGTGATGAGTGGGAATCTAAGAAGAAATGTCTCAGCAGCAAGGCATCCAAAACCCCGCACGGCTTCTTTTGTCCACTTGCGGTAGGAAGAAAAGACAGAGGTGACTTAGAGATGGAAATCTAGCTGGAAGCTGAACAGAGAGATGGGGAAATCTCCCAGCCCGGTCCTGGAAAGAATAAAGAGGCGGCTCAGGAGAGAATCCCGAGGGGTGGCCAAGTAACCGTTGGATGAAGAGTCCAACGTGGCAGCAAGCAGCCTGCGTCGGCTCTTCTACCTGAGCACCTTCCCAGGGGCTGTGGGACCTAAGCCGAGGGATCCCGGGGTCTCTCCAGCTCATGTGAATGCTTCTCCCCACGTTCGAGCTGCTCCAGCCTCGGGGTTGGCCCTGCCCTGCCCCAGGGAACTGGCTTTTCCTCCCATGATGGGCTCCTTCCCATCCCTCAAGTCCCGGCTTACCTTTTCCTTATTCTGGACTTTTCTTGCACTTTCTCTCTCACGTCGCTCTTCCTCCCCCAGCTCCGTTGCTGTGCGGCTGATCTCAGAGCGCTGCACCTCTCTGGAATGACCTGCTGGTTTCGTCCCAGGCATTCACTGGGTGGCGCTCACTCTGGAAGCTAAGCCGCAGGGGGGGCATCCTTGCTGGGCTGCCTCTGGTGCTGAGCACCCGGGCACATTCCGAGCCGCAGTGCTTCTGTGCCATGAGAACTTCTCAGATTTACCAGGAAGCCTGGAAGATTGCCTCAGGATCCTGTCAATGGTAGAAAGAAGTAGAAAATCGTGTGTGTGTTTTTTCATAATTGGGACCTCTCAAGCAGGAGCCAGGGTTGGACCACATTGTATACAGCAGAGATGCACTTGTTGCTTAATTACTTATTTTAGTAATTATTAAGAAATAATGGAGTGTCTCTTAGGAAAATGACACTTAGAAATCCATACGGTTGATTCACATCATTTGTGGTATTTTTGCTAGCTCCACAGATCGCCATAAACACTGAATTTGCAGATCCTGAATCGTTGCCCCTGGGGGAGCACAGGGGTGAGTTCCTGCAAGACTCAGGTAGCATTTTAATCCACCCATTAACAGGTTACCTTGATTTTGTGAGCTCCTGTTCAGAGCGGCTAGTTTAACATCCACTGCAGAAGCACTGACATTGAACCCACTGCCAAGAGAGCCAGGATGCCCACCGGTGCGGAGCTCATCAAATGCATGTATCTTCCCCACGGGGCACATCCCTGTCTCTTACCCTTAGGAATCCTGAACGGCTTTCAGAACTGGGTTTGAGGGGCCAACATGATCCACAAAAATCACAAACAATGCAACAACAAAATGAAAAACCTGTGACACTGAAGAGACCACACAAAGCGCGTTTGCTTGCGGTATTAGCACTGGGAGAAGAGAGCAGAGCATCCCGGTCTGGGAACATGCACACTGGGACCCTTGGTTTTTGCTGCTCTGCATGGGTCCAGGAAGACTGCAAAAGCACAGCAAGAGTGAATTTTGGAGTTATAAATAAAGTGCAGCTGGTGGGTGAATCCCAGCAGTGTGGTCCAGGAATATTGGGGATCATCTATCAGTGCAAATTTTCAGAAGCCACACTGTCTTGGAGAGGACACACCGTTTTTTGTTTTCTTAGTGGCAATAACATTTTATTGGTTTTGTGTTTGTCGGGAGTATCCTATGATACTGTGGTCTTCACAAACACATCTGTTGCAAACTGACACCTTGTTTTCATGAAGGTCAATGTTCTGGATGAGGACAACGTGATCATGGATTTAGAGTTCAACATTCGAGAAACTACGTGCCTGAGAGATTCCGGAGCAGATCCTTCTAGCTGTGCCTTCCAGAGGGGCCACTACATGGTAAGTGCCACCCGGCCCAGAAACCAGTGTAAAAAAGAGCCTCCTCCTTCCGTGATCTGGGGCTGATTTGTAGTCACAGAATGAGCCTGGCCACCCCTGCCTGGCACCTGGCTGTCCTGCTGTGTGGTCACAGAGTTGCCTGGAACAAGCGGTGTGTTCAGTGTTTGATGACGTGAGCCCCTGAGCTGGGGAGTTAGTGGTCCTAAGTGATTTTGGAAAATTCTTTGGGCCTTGGTGCCTTCGTTTCCTTCTCTTTAAAATGGGGATGAGTTTTTATCATGTAAAGTGAACACAAAGAGGCCATCCCCGAAGTATGACTCAAGACGTGTTTCAAATTCTGCTACAAAACATGCAAACTGTGGCGTGTGCTCCTGGCACGTATTATGTCACCTCGTGTTAACCCTGGTGCACAGCGTCTCCCTACAAGGTCAAGCTTGTGAATCCAGGGACACGGCATGTGTCCCCTGTGATACAGCAGGTACGACAGTCCACCCCGTGGCAGGAATCCCCTCCAAACAGCGACACGTCAATTTAGAGGCTGCTTCCTGCACAGTTTGGGTTTAGACGCCTGACTCCTCCAGGTTGTGGTACTCACAGGGGACTGACTGTTTTATGGTTTATTTCATGAAACTTTCACTGTGACTGTGTGTTAGAAAGGACCCAAGCAAAGTCTCCCAAGTATTCCTTTCTAACAAAATCTGTCTTCACCACGTGTGTGTGAGCATGTGTGTATGTGTGTGTGGGTGTGAGAGAGTGAGTGTATGTGAGTGTGTGTGAATGTGTGTGGGAGTGTATGTGAGAGTGTGTGTGAATGTAAGTGAGTGTGTGAGGGGGGGTGTATGTGAGTGTGTGTGTGAATGTGTTTGTGAGTGTGTGTGGGTGTGTGTGTGTGAGCGTGTGTGAATGTGTGTGGGAATGTATGTGAGAGTGTGTGTGAATGTGTGTGTGTGTGTGAGGGTGGGTGTATGTGAGTGTGTGTGTGTGAATGTGTGTTTGTGAATGTGTGGGGGGTGGGTGTATGTGAGTGTGTGTGAATGTGTGTGGGAGTGTATGTGAGAGTGTGTGTGAATGTGTGTGTGTGTGAGGGTGGGTGTATGTGAGTGTGTGTGTGAATGTGTGTTTGTGGATGTGTGGGGGGGTGGGTGTATGTGAGTGTGTGTGAATGTGTGTGGGAGTGTATGGTGTTTGTGTGTGTGTGCAGGTGAATGTGTGTGCGTGTATGATTGTTCAAATGGGGACGATGCCAGGCAGCCGCTCAGCGCTAGAGCCCAGAAAGCCTGAGTTTCCTGAAATGTGCCACATGTCAAACGCTGAGTCAGTGCAGTCTTTCATTGTTTCTCTTGGGCCTTTAGGAATTTTCGTTCTGGAGAATTGAAATGCCTCAGTGCCTCTCCTTCCTGCTCCCTTTGGGAAGGCCCCAGGTGTGCTGGGCGGGCAGCACCGAGGCCAGCCCTGGCAGGAGCCGCTGGTGTGACTCCTTGTCTGTCTCTTCCAGCCGGTGGCTGCCTGCAGGAGCACAGTGCGGATGTCGGGCCTGCAGGCGCAGGAGGTGTGGGCTCACTGCCGCTGGCCCTCCACGTCCGAGTCTGACAGCAGTGAAGAGGTAGGCCCCTCCCCTGGTCTCCTTCCAGACAGGCCTCCGAGGGTCTGTGTGGCCTGTGACAGGCAGAGTGGCTTGACAGGGTGGCTGCGGTGTCACCAGGCCTGGGAGGGAGGAGCTCACCTGTGCAGCTAGATTGTTTCTGTGTCTCCTGTGTCTCCCAGACTCTGTCTTTATTCTCTCTCAGTCCCTCCCTCTTGCTTTTCCCCCTCCTCCGGGGACTCCTCCACCTTGACATGGGGGCCTGGTTTTAAAGTAAAGATCGGCAGCTCTTCAGTTTTAGACCTGGGAATGTAGTTGGGTGGGCTGTAGAGGGCCATTTCCTGCCCAGTGTTCACAGCTAGCTCCGTGGTCCAGGTCGGGACTCCTGACCTTCACGTCACCCTGGTCACCTGCAGCTTCTTGACCTGGTGAATCCCAGTGATCAAGTCCACCCTGTGGGCTGCTAAGAGGCACCGAAGAGCTGATGCCACACAATCTCAGCTCAGGGTCTGGAGTAGGGTAGAAGGTCAGGGAGTGGCATTGGAAGTGACTTAAAATAACACTATAAAATTAATAACATAAAATTCTGTCTTGAAATTATATTACATGTTTATTTATCTATTTATTTGTCAATAAATAAATACTAGACTGTACCTCTCCTGTGGGCAGGGAATGTTCGTTTTTATCAGCCTAGGACACTGTCTGATACCCAGTAGGTGCTCAGTAAATATTTGTTGAGTTAATGCAACTGGGGAGGAAGTGGTCCAGAATCCAGTATGAAGAGGAGGCCACTTGACTCCAAACCAGGGTAAAGACATCATGTCTTTATAATATATGAATAATGTAACATCACGGTTACATTATTTGTTCATTCAAAATAGGGTAATATTCTTGATAGGTATTCAAAAATTCTCCCACTATTATACAACTGTATCCAGCTAACATATTTCTCAGCACTTGCTATTTTTATTCAACTTTTGAAAATTTAATTCTGCAGTGCAAATTACATTAGAAGAGTGTAAAATCTCTCAAGTTCAGGAACTACACATAAAAGTTTATGTCCTCATGTTATTAACCTAGCCATACTGTAACTATTTTGCCTGGAAGTCCGTTTTAGAATTAGGAAGCAATGAACCTCATATTGCATGGGAAGCTCTTCTTGGTGCAAAGGGGAAATAAAATTCAATTCATAAAATTGAGCATCACCTTATGGGCTGACTCTTGCATGCTGGCAGCCTCCAAGGGCCAATTCCCAGGTCATTTCTGAGCTGGCTTGTCCTGTCCCTTAAGGATCTTTTCTTGGTGTGGGGACAAGTGCCAAGTGGCTCCTGGTGTACACTGTTAAACTCATGTCAGTCTTCACAGTGTCACACACATGGCTCTGCTCACCCAGAAGCAACTAGGACCAAGCATGTCTCCCACAGTAGCTTACGTGGGGGAGGAGGCGGGGAGTGAAGCAGGCAGGTGCTGGTCCTGGTGGAGGTTTTACAGTGACCTGGGGAAGGCGTCCACCATATGGGGATTACTGACTACAGGCAAGCGTCTGGGACCATGTGGTGACAGGAAGGAAGACCATGCATGGTGGGCAGACAGGGCTACCGGAGGAACTATGTCCAAACCAAGAGCTAGTCTGTGGGTGGAAGCCAGAACAAAGGGGCAGGGTGAGCGGGGGGCTTCCCGGCACAAGAAATCATTGGGGGTACCCCAAAGTGCCCGGGAAGCTGATGAGTTAAAATGGACAGAAATCCATGAGGAATGGAATTAGCAAAATGTAGGGGGATGGGCACAGGTGGGGATGAAGAGGAACAGCCGCCAGTGGAGGGGACCTCAGGGTCCAGCCAGGTGGAGGAGGGGCTAGTGGTCATGTCCACCATTCCTGGCCTCCTCCTAATGAACAGGGGATGCCAAAGGATCAGATCAAGAATGGATTGGCACCAGGTGAGAGTAATATGGAGTCCTGGGGGTGGGCACAGAGGGGAGAGGGAATGCTGGCAGGGGTTGGGCTCAGCAGTCAATGCAGGGAGAAATGGATTCTAGTTCATTCCATGGCCTTTAACACAAGTGAAGTTCCTTTAATAAGTGTCCACCTAGCTTAACCCCTCTTCCATCTTTGGTTGGGAAAGTCCATTCTGATTGTGCAATTCTCCACTCCATTCCAACTTTCTAGCCGTGTGGTGAGATCATTCTCTTCTCTTCCAATTCCAGGCTTTAAATTCTGATGTTAAACTATGTCAGCCTCTGAAAACAAGATGAATTTGAAAATAAACTCTCAGGTTTCTTGCTCTTAATATTAGAGGATCATAAAGAATTATAAGCAAATTGAAAAGAAAAGAATTTCCACACATTCAAGGAAGTAGTATAAAGGGAAAAGAAGAAAATTGAGATTTAAAATAATACCTGAAAATCCTGAAATGGAGTTCTTTTAAAATTTTTATTTTAATTGACAAATAATAATTGCACATATTTATGGGGTGCAATGTGATGTTTTGATCTATGTATGTATTAAAGAAAGATTTCTTACACAAAACAGAGAAAAAAGTTAGGAAATAGCCGTCAGCCACTTTCAGTGAAAGTACCTGGTGATATTGCAAACATGAAAGACCACCCACCAGGATGAATTCAGTCACAGAACAGCAAAATCACTGTTAAAGGTAAAAAGTGGAAGAAATAAAACTCAATAAGAAGCCCCAGAATGCGGAAAGTAAAGATCATTTGACAAACATGCGTAGAATACAGAAGAATTTCCAGAGTGGGGACTATAACATCAGGAAAAAGGAAAGCCATGAAAAAGAGTCCCCAAGCCCCAAATGATGACTGATAAAGCCTGAAACCAAGGGGAAACTGTCTGGTGAGAATACAATAAGAGAAACGGTCCTGAAAAGGAAAAGTCTGACCTTTCCCCTGGTCTTAAAAAGAATGGTAACCGGAAAGGAATTGAGAAAAGAAGCTTCTAAATTTGTAGACACTCTCCTCCTCTCCTTAACAAACAGGCTGTGAATTGAGGGTAGTTTCTGTCTTTTTTTTTTTTTTTTAAGTGGAGTCTGTAGCGCAGGTGGGAGAGGAGCACCCACTCAGCCACACCCTGGTGGCAGCCATCTGGCCTGCGCTGCGGGCCCTGCCAGGTGGGCGCTCCTTCTCCTCTCTGGCCTCCTGGAAGCCAGCCTGACCGTAGACACGCCTCTGACTTGGAAGGGGGGCGGGTGAGTTTGGCAGAGCTTCAGCCAAGAGACCCCCAACCATCCAGAAGAGAGGGGCCCCGAGGCAGAGTCACAGCAGCAGCCCTTGGCTCAGGGAAGGAGTGATTGATTTGCTGTTTTTCCATTTCAAAAGATAGAAATTCGAACACTAGTGCAAATCCAAGAAGACAGAAATAGGCTAAGCCAGGAAGGGATGATTCCCTGGATCCCATTCCCAGAAAGGGAGGGAGGAGTTGGCCTCACAACTGACTCACCTAGGTGCCGGCCCTCCTCCCCCTTTCCTTCCCCATCCCTCCTCCTCCTCCTCACAGAAGAGCTTTCTCCTTGAGTCTGGAGGCAAGCACAGGGTGCCTCCAGGTTCCCCACCTGAGCATCTGTTATCTCAGGTTGGAGGACTCTCCTGGCCTCCCTCACACTGGCCTGGCGTGGGTCACGTGTCCCCTACTTTGTACACATAAATTTACTGTTTATTTATTGATTGAGTTTATTTCTGATGTGCAACGTGATGGTTCTTTTTTGGAAGGTGAGAATTGAACCCAGGGCCTTGCACAACCCGGGCAGGTGCTCCACGCCTGAGCCACATCTCCAGACCCTAATGTAGCCCTCAAATAACACCTTTCTCAAGAGGTGATTCCCATGCCACACTATTCATGTCTTTCATGTGCATAGTTTGGTGGTTTTCAGGAGATTCACAGGCTGTCACACTGCCAGCACGGTCTAAATTCAGAACACTTCCATTTCTCTGAAAAGAGACTTCTGGACTGAGTCATTCTCTATTCCTCACTATCCCCCAGCCCTATCATCAGTCACTGATCTGATTTTTGTGGGTGAATCTTTCCATTCTGGCTGTTTTCTGTAGGTGGAAACATACATGACCCTTTGTGACTGACTGGTTTAACTTACCATGTTTTGAGGGTTCATACATGTTGTAGAATGTATGAACATGTTCATATGTAACCTTTACAAAGGGATAAAAGGTACTTTATTTCTTTTTATTGTTGAATAATTTCCCATTGTATGGATATGCTACACTTGATTTATTTGTTCATTGATTGATCAACATGTGGGTTGTTTCTACTTTTTAATTATTATGTATAATGTTCTGAATAGTCAAGTCACATCTTTATGAGGGTATGTGACTTTAGCTCTACTGAGAATTGAACTGCTGGATCACATAGTAGCTCTTTAATTAACTTTTGAGGAACTGCCAAACTATTTCTGGTAGCAACTGCACCGTTTTACATCCCTGAAAGTGGTCCATGAGGGTTCTAATTTCTACATATTCTTGCCAACACTTGTTATGGACTGTCTCTTACTTTAGCCATTCTGGTGGGTGTTAAGTAGAATCTCAATATGGTTTAATTTTCATTTTCCTAGTGACTAATGATCAGCCATTTGTATATCTTCTTTGGAGAAATGTCTATTCAAATCTTCTCCCCATGTTTTAATTGGGCTGCTTATCATTTTATTGTTAAGTTATTCACAAATATTTTATCTTACTTTGTGCGTCTTTTCACCTTCTTGATGATACCGTTTGTTAAGTCCCTTGTTTCTCTTTTGTTGTCTGTGTGAGTCTTACATTTAAGTCTGATCTATTTTGACCTGGTTTTTGTATGTCATGTGAGGAGAGGGGTCCAATGACGTTGACTTTTTCTCGTTGTTTCCAGTTGTACCAGCATTAATGTTGAAAAGACCATTCTTCCTCCACCAAATTGTCCTGGCATGTGCCCCTGCCCAGGGCCACCCACCATGTGGGGCCAGGGCACTCCCCATGCTATGCAGGAAGGAGCAGGCAGCAGGCGGGCAGGAAGGTGGCTTCTTGACACCTGTGTGGACTTTCAGTGGTTTCATGAGAGCTACTTGTAGATGTTAACACCTTGTTCTACTGAAGAAATTGTGGGACCGTCACAGAGAGAAAACTCCAGAATCTGACTCATATTTAGTCTGTTTGCAAGTTGATAAAACGAAATTCCGTTTTTAGTCTGCAACGTTTGGAAGTATGTTCCAAGTCACTGACGGCTTTAGAGTCAGTGTAGACTTCACCCCGTTGCTCCTCCTTGCGTGCTTTCTGGAACAGGGGTTGGGCGTTGCATGGACTCACTTCATACAATATGCATTCTCATTGCATTAAAAAACATTATAGCTCAGAGTCCTCTGGATAATATTTAGGATTTTTTTAACCATATATTTTCTTTTTCATGTGCCGACACCTACTGATATTGCTTACATTTCTTCAGATGATTTTTGGGGACATGATGAGGTCCTATAGGTGGAGAAACAATGATCTACTTGGTAAGTTGAGAACTGTTCTTTTCTCCCCCTTAAACAATCGCATATCACCTTTCTTTGTGAGTCATTTGAAAGTAGAAACACCTAGGTACAGCCTTTGATCAATTGCACTAGCTGCAGAAAATAAGCATTTCTTTTCACTTTGCTCCTTTCTTGTCACTAAGTAGTAGTAGTAATAATAATAATAATAATAATAATAATAATAATAATACAATTATTCCTGTAGGTATTTCTCTATATTTTTTCATAGCTTTTCCATATCCAAGTCCATGTGGTGACCCCACATCTCTGCAAACAGATGAGGCCAAAGCTGATTGCCCCTCGTGAGGGTGCCGTCATTTGAACACCCTTGTTCCCCCTGGTGCACTCTCTGGGTTGCAGGGCCCGGGTGGGCACTGATGTGTAGCTGGGGGGATCAGGACTCACCCACATCTGACAGATGGGGGTTGACCTCTGTAGTCCCCACTGTGCGACTTGAGCTGACATCTCTGAGTCTCCTGGTTGGGGGAAGAAGGGTCTTCTCTTCTGGCCTCTAATTTGAAATGGGGTTGGCTAGTGTTCTGTGACTTAGGAGCCATCTTTATGTCTCTGATGCTTTTTCCTGTTGGTGCTAATGGTGCAAAATTCTTTGGTGACTGAAGCTTCTTTGTTTAAGAGGCATTTTTGTGATATCATTTACACAATACTAGAACATTCTGGAAGTGGGCAGAGGAGCCTCGTCTTATGGCTCTTACTGTGTTACAGGTCTCATTCCTGAGGAACCCAGAAATGAGCAATATTATGATCCGTCGCTTGGTAAGTGGTTTATTTCCTTCTGTTCGACACCATCAGACTCTTTTCTGATCAACCCAGCCTGTGCTAAAGCCATTCCATAGGCGTCAGACACCAACATACAAAATATTTTAACTGAAAATGAAAAGAGTAGTGACGCAGGAGGCTGCTTGGCAAATCAGTGGAGAGGTAACATCGAGGCACCAGCTCATTTGAAAGTTATCAAGAATTGAAATGTTCCTGTGCCACCCCAGAGCAGTCTCTGAGCAGTCCACACTGATAATCTGTTCGTCAGACACAACCCACCTCCTCAAAAGTGGTGAAGCTAACTGGTCCCTTCCCATAGCACCTGCTTTCCCACTGAATCTTTGCAATAGCTCTGCAAACCAACTATGCCCCCTGTTTGCACAGGCGAGGGCATGAGAGGTAACTCAGGGCACGGACTGGCAAATGCAGAAGCTTACCCTACAAATGGCTCACCCCCTTCCCCACCCCACGCGTGGCAGCTCTGTTAACACTTTTTATAGGTGAACAGACTAAGGCGGTGCATCCTAACTTGCTCAAGGACAGACCGCCAGAGTAGGACTTCCATCTAGGCTGCTCATGGCAAACAAGGCTTTGAACAGGTCTGTCTAAACCTGTGTTATTTATTTTCCAGAAGCCTGATGAAGTTCAGAGTCTCCTAAGTTCAGAGTCTCCCACTAAAGTGCTTAACACATGCTAATATTCTGATGAGCTCAGTGTCTGAAGATTAGGCTTATGATGATTTATTTGAGTGCTAGGACTTAAACCTGAAGCTTATTTTTGAAAAATGCCTGTCACTTTGGGAAAAGATGAAGTTACTTTAACTGTGACCACTGCTGAAAATGTTCTTTTAACAGTCATTCGGGAATTATCTTCAGACTGTCTATTGCTGTGTGTCAAAATTTCCCCAAATTTAGCAGCTTAAAATAACAAACTCAATCTCCCAGCTTCTGGGGATCAAGAGCCCAGGGGCAACCTAGCTGGGGGGTTATGGCTTGGGGGTTACAACAAGGTTGAGACACGCTATCAACGGGGACTGTGATCTCAGCCGAAGCTTGACTGGGGGTGGGAGATCCACCTGCCAGTCATGCTCGAGCTTGTAGGAAGGTCTCAGTTCTCCACGGGCTTTGGCCTGAGAGCTACAGTTTCTCACCATATGGGCATTTCAGTGAGGCTGTGTGAATGTCCTGCAAAGATGGCGGCATTTCTCCAGGGACGATGGAGATAAATATATAGAGAGGCGGGGGGAGAACACGAGTATAAGCAAGGGAGGGAATGCTGAGAGGCGCGGTCTTCCATAACCTCACCTTGCCAGTGGCCAGTGATAGATCTTCACTACTCACGAAGACAACCCTGGCCTGGGGGAGGGTGCTGACAGGAAGCAAGACACCAGGAGGTGTTGGAGGAGGACCCCTGTAGATGCCATTTGAAGATGAAAAATATTTTATGGATTAGATTAATGTGACCAATCCTGTTATATATCTCAGATGGGACCTCTACGCCAAATTCTAACCACTCTTGGGCCTTGGGAGCATCACGGATGCAGACTTTGAGCCATCCCAGAGGCAACTGTGAACTGGACAATTCAATTCAGTTCAGTTCAACACATGTGTCTGACAGGACAGGGCAGATCCCACAGAGGACTGAAAGAGAAAGGTGACAGTCCCTGCCCTCGGGTGCTCACAGGGATGACTGAGACAGATCCCAGGAGGTGATGCAGGTCAAGGAGAATCACTCTGGGCTCCGCTCTATCCCCAGGCCACAGGGAGCCGGGGAACTTGATGAGGAAGACAAGTGACGGGGCCTCCGGGTCCTCTTGGCAGTGAGGTGGGGATGCTGGGCACGATCCTTGTCATTAATTTATAGTCCCCTACTCTGTGTCATCATCACGTGACTGATGGGCCTGTGCTTTCTTTTCTATCTTTAGACCTGAGAAGGAGCTTTCCTCCTGGAAATGGAAGGAGCCCACGCTACCAGCACAGACCAAGAGCAAACACTGGCTTCGAGTAACGGCCCTGAGGTGAGGGGGACAGTGAAGTTTGCCTGTAGAAGCAGAGGGGACTCCGAGTGAACGCCTGAAGCAGGCCGCCCCTGCGGTGTGCGGCCCTCGCCACCTGCCCTTCCTCCTCCTTTTACCTCCTCTGGTTACTGCAGAGCAATGGTGTCCTGAGTCCCATGCACCCTCCCTCGCCTTCCAAGCTCCCCCACTCCAAGAGCAAACAGACAAGGAACAGAGAAGACAGCCCCCTCCTCTGACCTGTCTCACCCCCCACCTGCTGCCCTCCTCCCTGACCGCCCCACGCTCCTCGCTCCTCAGCACCATGTGGCCTGTGGCTGCCGCCGCCCCAGTCTCCTCCCTTCTCTGCTTCTTTGCAACCCAGATTTTAATCCTTCAAATCTGAAATCTGATCAGGTTTCCCTTTCTCGATCTGTAATCAATACTGGCGACATTTGAATGAGCTCCTTACCCAGTGCTTCCCTGTTCTTTGGATTGTCATCTCTTCCTCTTGCTTGACTTTAACCGACACTGATGTGTTTTCAGACGTGTGTCTCTTACCTCACTCTGTACAGAAACCCAGGCCCGATGTCACCGAGGCCGATAGGTGCAGGTGCAGGGAATCTCCGTGGCCTCCTGAGACTCAGCTTCCTGCCTAGCTTCCTTTCTTGACTGATGGCCTCAGCAGCCACCTAAATTGGCTGAGGGCCTCACTGAGCTTCTTCATCCTGCGTCTCCTCCTCCCAGCATCCACAGGGTCCAGCACTGTCCATGTCACCCTGCGTTTTCTCTGCTGCTGGCCCTCACTTCTGCACACCACCCCTGAGCCCCTGATTGCTTCTCGCCTGGGGTCCTGATCCCACGCCTTGTGTGCTGCCCCTGTCTTGAACACAGAGGAGACCCGGGCCCTTCTCCACCTACACTCTGATGCTAGCTTCTCTTGTGGAAGAAAGCGGAGGTGTGAGGAAGCCAGATGGGAGCCCAGCAGAGGACGGCCTCCACATTCCCCCGGGGCTGTGGGGAGCTGCAGACAGGGCCCTGCTGTGTCACACCAGAGTCTCACCGGGACCTAAGTTCCCAGTGTCTAGGGATCAGAGCCAACAGAGCTAGGTGCTTTTTAAAGATTTCCAAGTATTAAAGGGGCATCACGAATGGCACATTTGAAAGGAACCTCAAGATGCAATTACAGATGTTGATTCAGTGTGTAGTTATGCTTCCCAGCACTCTCTCTCTCTCTCTCTCTCTCTCTCTCTCTCTCTCTGAACACATACTGGGCAGTTTATATAACACTGCGTGCTTTCAGGCAGAGGTCCAGATGCCCTGGCATGGCCCTCAGTGGCCCGTAAGCTCCAGCATTACTGAATCCCCGCACCTCCTGCTGCTGCAGTCCCCAGATCACCAGCTCTGCCCCTGTGTTCGGGCCTCGGCTCATCTCCCACTTCATGATGCCACAAACCACCAAAGCCAAGAGGATGATGTCCTTCCTGGGGTTTCCATAGCCCTCATTGCAGGACATTGCAGTAGCTTGTCTCCTCTGCCCTTCAGGCTCTACCAGACTCCCCGGGAGCAGGGCTCGGGACCTTCCCCTGCCCTCATCCCTCAGGGCCCTGCACCCAGCCTGGGACACTCAGTACATCAGCGTCAGCAAATATTTTATAAGTGGATGTTGGCAAGCTTCACTTCGGGTTCTTGAGAGTTTTTTGAAAAAAAAAAAAAGTCTATGTCTTTGAGTCAAGCACAGCATAATTAATTTTTAACCACCAGAATTTAAAAGAAGTCAACTGACATTTTACAAAAATAGCAGGAATACTCACCAGCAAGGCCGTCTTAGATAAGGATGCAAGTGGTAGATTTTCTTTTTCATCTATGGCACATGCTAAAAATAAAAACCAGCTTCATACTGAGATCAAGAAACTATTCACTATGAAGAAAAAGTTTCATCATATTTCTTTTTTATAGATGCAAATTGCTGGGGGTTTTTTTTGCCTTGTGGAGCAAGGGGGGGGGGGTAGGATTCTCAATGGACTGGCTGCGTGGTATATTAGTAACATGATTATGAGTTAGTAATGAAGGATATAATTATGCTGGTGGATATACACATACATGTATAGCAACATAAATGCACCATCCGATTTTGGCAAAGAAACATGTCTTTAGAGGTAACACAGACTGAAGACCAAATGTGGCAGTCCTGGCCTGGCCCTTGACCTTGGCTGGAGTCCCAGTTATGTCCCTGTACAGGAGGTCACGACTTTCTGCAGGGCAGGTGTCTACACTGCTCTGGGTCCCCTAGAATCCTAAAATGAGGCTAGTAAGGCCAGCACAGGGGATCCAGTGACGAGGCCAATCCAGAGGCAGGTGGAACCTGGGCCTGGTTCTGAGTCTCTCCTCCCACAGCCACCACCCAGCCGCTGACCCGTGACCTCTCAGGTTTCTTCAAATGTTTGTTACCATGCTTTGTTCATTTTTGTTTCCACTAGACCTTGAAACCCTTGAGGATGCATTACCTTGTTACCTTCATTAGTTATTTTAGTTTCAGAGCAAGTAGAAATACTACATGTCCACATAAAATTATTGACAGTAGCTGTGTCAGTGTCACAATGCTAAGAACAGAGTATCATAATTGGTCAGGGTGAGCGGAAGGAATGAAGGAACACCTGACCAAAAACAAGATTGCTATTTTCAAATTGCCAGTAAAGTTTTTCCTCTGGGGAACTCTCTGGGGCCTGAGAAATGGCTCATTTATCATGAAATCCCCAGAGCCTGACCCAGTCCCTGGATTAAAACAGGAGCTGAGTGTTTCTGTAATTTAATAAACTATTCTAGTATTCCTTCAGGTAGCTAAAAATGATTTGATACATAAATAGATGGTGAAATGCAGTATTTAATAAAATAGTTCAGAAATTTTAAAATTTGAACTCAACAGTAGGAAATATGGAAAACCAGGCCCCAGCTCTCCTGTTGAAGGGATCTATTTGAGAGTGCTGCACTTTCTTGGGGTCTGTAGCTGGAACTGTTCTGATTTATCAGTAACGCTGTGGCCAGAGACCCTCAGTACCAGGTGGTGACATGTGGCTGGCACACCTTCCCCCCCGGCTGTGGTGGGGACCAGCACAATGCCCAGGTGCTGCAAAGCAGCAGCTCTGTGAGGCCATGGTCAGAGTGCGTGGGGCACAGAATCAGCCCCGTTCATCCATTTACACAGTGAGTGCTCATCACATGCACGCCTGCGCCCAGTGCTGGGCCCTCGGGTGTACCAGGTCTGTGTGGGGTCCTCACACGCTGCCTGCTGTACACGCCGGGCAGCACTGCAGAGGAGGCTTATTTTGCCACCCCACGTTACAGATGAGGAAGCAGAGCACTTAGGCACCCTGCTCAGGTGCTGGGATGGGGATCCGGCTTCCCAGGCTGGTCTCCAAATCCGTTCTTCCTTCCTGTAATTATCTGCCTCCATGTTTAGAATGCCATACAAGGGCAGAACGTCAAGGACTGCTTGTTTAAGGTACATCTGTTTTGTGTTGGGTGGAACCAGATGTGTCTTTGCCAACTAGAAGGCAGAGCTGTGACGGGCAGAGTTGGCAACTTGCCTGCCCACCATCAGCCACATAGGGGGGCTGGCCCCTAAAGGCTGGGCCACCCGTGGCTTGATGAGTGATTTCAATATTCAGGGATCAGACTCATCAGTGAGCACGTCCTCCCATGATCTCACCTGGGAGCCCACCCACTGAAGGGAGCCAGGTGCCTCAAGAAGATGGGGAAGATCCAGCCCAGGATCCAGAGGCGGAAGCTGGCCATGGGCCACTCCTCCTATGCTCTGCTCTGACAGTCGATGGCTGCACACTCCCACCAACCACTTCACCAGGTGCAGGCGATTCTCACCATCCACTGGAGTTACTGTCTACAGCTGTTGTGAACACTGAATTAGCAAACGCTGAGTTATTGCTCCTATGGGCAATATGGGTTTAGGCACTGTTGAGCCTCTGGTCACCTGTTCCTCAGCAGTTGAGTATGTGACCTTGTATGTGTGTTTCTGCCTAGATGCCTCAGGTAGCATATTTTCTTGACTCATTAACATTGAACTCATGGGCTGAAAGGAGGTTATCAACACGTGCGTTTCTCCGTAAGGCACATTCTCCATAAGGCAACTTCCCTGCCTGGCAGCACTAGGCAGAACTACACTTGGGCCATTTTAAACAGTAACAGCATCCACAAGGCCACAGACATGCCTAAACCAGCACTAAATAGACCAGGAAAAGGGCTCTGTTTATAGCATGAGGACTGGAACAAGAAAGCCCACTGCTGCCTTGGGTGACCTTAGCTGGGAACAGGTGGGTGGGACCACACTGTGTCCAAGAACGAAGGGAAAGCGGCATGAGCAGCTTCGGGAGACACAGTGAAGGCCAGCGAGTAGGAGCATTCCAAGGACAGAGTCCGGGAACTGTGGGCACTGCCTGGACAATGTCCCCCCTGCATGAGCTTGTCCCTAGCGTTCCCTTAGTCTCTGTGTTCCCTTCTTCCTGTCTTTTAAGAAAAGCTGTCCCCATTTGCTGCACCAGGCCCACGTCACTCCTCTGCTACACACCAACCTCTCCCCGCGTGGTGACCTCCTCCTGGACGCCTCCCCAGCCTGCATCCCCCTTCCTCTGCTGAGCCTCCTGGCCCCGTGGGATGCTGGTGACCACTCCTTTCCTGACATCCTCTGGTCTCTGGGATTTTGTCCCCTCCACTAACTCTCCTCTCTGGCCAAGCCTTCTTCCTGGTCTTCTCAGGTCCCTCACCTTCCTACTGTCCCCCAGTGGTGACAATCACCAAGGTCTGACCTTGCTCTTCTTCTGCTCATTGACTTCTTATCCTGCCCCAGGCACCCCCAGGTGGCGCCCCTCACCTGGTGGCCTGGTTGCTCCACTGGAATCCCAGGCTAGAGTGAACCACTGCTTGCTAGACACCCCCACCAGAATGTTCCTTATAAAGCTCAGAACGGGGTTTTCCCTTGGGAACATACCCCTCCTGTGTCCACTCATCCTCCAGGCACCCGGCCTGAGGCAGATCCATCTAGACCTCCTCCCTTCCTCCCGTGACCCAGTTCTGCTCGTCCTTCCTCTGACACGTTCCTGGCTCTGCCCTGTCTCTGCGTGGTCTGCTCAGCTCAGCCTGCTGGGCTTGCTGTCTCCCCACAGAGTCACCTTGTTCCCTCAAAGGCTCTGTCACGAGTTCTGACACAAGTCCTCGCCAGCTCGAGGGCCCTGCTCACCTGCAGGATGAAGTCTCAGCTCCTGGACGCTGTGGTGCCTGAGCACCTCCCTGAAGCAGTGTGGTCCCTGTCTGGGTCCCTGGCTCTGCCTCCGGTTTGCATGAAGAGTCTCGTCCAGCTCCTGGCCCAGCTGCTGGCACTCAGTACTCCCGCCCCAGCTCGCCCTAAGGGCAGCTTTCTTGTCTTTCCCTGTCCTTGGGATGACCTGCACGCGGGCCTCTCTGGAATTGCATCCACCACCCTGTGCTCTGACTGGGTATTCTTCTCCACTAGCTCATGATGTTTTTTTAGGTGTAGCTATGCCTTTTTGATCCTAGTTATGCCCAATAAACGCTTCGTGCTTGGGCATTTACAGAATGGGTGAGAGGATGGACCAGCATTCCCTTCTGCAGCCCTGGGTCTGCAGATGCCCACAGCGCCAGCCAGCCGCTCCTTTATGGTTGGACCAGGGCCTTCCTTCCCAGACTCATGCCACAAGCACCTCCTTGAGACACGGGCCAGCACCTCGCTCCAGGTGTCTCTCTTTAGGAGAAGAGCTTCCTTTCTGGAGGGAAGTCTCTGTCCCCTGACTCCATTACCTCTTCTTCCCACAGTGTCTCTTGCTCCCTGTTGGTGGTCGGTCAAGGAGCTGGCTGCTTTGCACAGTGGCTCCCATCTCTCGGATCTGCTCCTGGGCGGTCCTGGGAGTCCTGGGTCCTGGGCACCCCGCACAGGAATGTGGCTGCTCACCATTTCTGTCTAACGCTCCCTTCCTCCTCTCTTCACAGCAAAACATGCACAGAGGGAAGAGAGGTTGCAGACAAGAAAGACGCTACAAATCGCATGACTTTCCTCCTGATCAGTGTGGTCTGTAATAAATGCTTTCCTTTCCCCATGAGACTCTTTCTTTTATTGCTAGATATAAAAAATAATATTATAAACTATTAGACTTTTAGAAGAACAACTAAATACATGAGAATATTATTATTAGCTAAGGATTTGAGGAGTTGAAGACTCACGAGGAGACTGTGTAAGCAGTCCCAGGCGGCTCTGTGTCAGAAGAGATGGTGCCTCCCTCCATGTCTAGCTTTAATGTTGAAAAGATCATCCACATACCCCAATAATTCAAGATGTTAGTAATGGAGGAATTCAGGTGGGGCAGGGCATGGGGTGGGAGAGAGGGCAGATGCCAACTCTGCATCCTTTCTGCTCAATTTTCTTATAAAACTAAAACTGTTCTAAAAATAAAGTTTAGTAATAAAAAATTCATTGGGAGGCTAAGGAGTAAGAAGTGTTACAGTCGATCACTGTCCCCACAAAATACTGTCATTACTCTTCCCTTCAATTTTCTTGGTCTAGGAAATCAATAGGGAAGTGATTTTTTCATCAATGTAGGTATTGCTAGGAGGGTCCCACGGGAATGAGGTCTGTGTGCTGCAAGTCACCTGTTTAGAAATGCACCCCGAAGTAGGTAGATTCGTGAGGGGCCGAAGGGTAATGCGAGAGTCTGAGAGTGTGAGAATCCCAGGCTCATTGGGGTCCCTACTGGGACTGACACCACATCCGTTCCCAGGGCTTGGACTGAAGATGGCACTTTCTGGACCATGACGAGCCATGTCGCCACCAGGACCCTGTGCCTGGACACAAAGGGCACTCTTCATTGCTGCCCAGTGGGAAGGGCTTCACACTTTACAGTGGCCGACGAGGCTTGTCCCTCCAACTCTTCTATTTTCCACCCCAGGGTTTTCCTGAGTATTCTCATGCACTTATTTTATTTCAACTTTAAGATCAGATTGTCAACTTATGAAAAGTTATCTTGACATTTTAAATCTAGTTAATTACATCAAATTTATAGTTGATTTTTATGACATTGATATTGTTAGATTTTTGAGTTTTGTTCTGCAAGACTAAGACATACATTTCCAATTATTGGACTCTTACATCTCCTAATAAAGTTTAAGAATTTTCTTAGATGTGTTCTGCATATTTCTTTTTAAAATTGTTTCTTGGGATTATTGTTTTGGTTGTTATTATTGATGGAATCTTTCATTATTATGCTTTATGCTAGAGACTGACTAACCCATTTTAGGTTTTGGGCCTGGTTTCCTGCTGAAAGTTCATAATGTTGCCACTAGTTTTTCAGAAAATACTCTTGAATGATCCATTCACTTAATCATAGCTTTTGAAATAATATTGGTTCAGACTTTCCATTTTTGAAATGTCACCTTTTTCTTTTTCCCATTATTTTTTGGTGAACACATTCCAACAGGCCCAACTAATACTGGGATGAAAAACATCCTTCTCTCATCCCTTGCTTCAACAGCATTCTAAGCAGCATTTGAGAGCTTCATTGTTAAGTACAATGCTGCCTTCTGGTTTAGTGTGCAAGTAGCTATATTTCTAATCAGAAGACTGTATTCTTCTACTGTTAAGTGTTTATGATATAAACACGGATTAAACTTTGTCAGATGTATTATTATTTCTTATTATTTCTTCTTTGGTAACAAGATAGAATGAATTATGCAGAGAATCATTGGGATTGAACCATCTTTGGATTCTTGCAACAGCTCTACCTAGTTATGGTTCGCTGTTCTTTAAAAGTTCCATTGTTTCATTCAGAATGTTTGCATCAACTTTCATTAATGAGATAAATGGGTAATTTATTTTTTGTGCTACTTTGCCTGGATTTTGTATCAGTATTGTAGAATCTCTTCTGCCTGTCTGTGCAGTTTCTCTTCAACACCTTCTCCTGCCCCACTGGTCCCCAACACTCGTCTAATGAAAGACCTTACCCTTAGATATCCTTGGAGGCAGGTGTGATTGCTTTTATTAACTGTATATAAAGTAATTCATATATATTAATTTACATATTTTTGTAATTTTCTAACCTTTTAATTTGCCAGTCTTTCCCAATTTTGCTAGCACATTTCCTGCATTTTCTTCTGAAAACAATAGTAGCAAATGCACCCAAGGCATGAGACAGTCACTTCTTGCTTAGCAGTGATTGTTGACCTAGGAGAATGCTGGGCTGTGTCAGGAATGCCTGGTGACAGGATTGTTGGAATTGTTCTGAAACTTGTGTGTTGGGATTGTGAGAGCCAACACCACCACTGAGTACAGCTCAGGGCACAGCAGACACCCCCGGCCTCCTTATGGAACTGGGTGGGGACATGGCCACATGAAGCTGTTGCCAGCAACAGAGACCTCATGAAGATGCACTGAGGCCATGGGACCCAGGTGCTCTGTACCCTCCACTGACGCTGTCTCCAAGAACAAACATGACCTAATTCCTTCAGGTCAGAATTTAGGTAATTTTTTTGTAAAACAAAGTGAACTTGTGGAATTTATTTTTTTTCTTTCTTTTTTTTTTGAGTGGTACACACCTGCCCTCAATTGTGGGCTCAAGGAATGCTAGGATTCCCTTTTGGCTCTCATCTTGATAGAAGTCACAGTATAAGATAAACACAGTGACAGACATCTCCATAAAAGTGTCATTGTGTGACTGCGATGCTTACAGCAGAAAAATGTTGGCCTCTTTATGGCCCCTCTCCAGAGGCAGGTGTGACTGGAGCCACCTGTGGGAGAGGCTTCCACTGCGAATCAGCAGTAACCAGAAGAACCGAGTGGCATTCTTGGGGCCCCCAGGAATGTGCCCTTGGTTCTATAGACAGTGTTTGCTCTCCTGTCCCTTCACAGCTGGGGATTAAAAATTGCCCAGAATTCAAATATTTAATGTTCTTCTTTGGTTTCCATCCCTGGAGTGTCTCAGTAGGTCTGTTGCCAACGTGTCACATGTCACGTTGTTCCTCCCTGACCCAGGTCACCGTGTGTGGGAAGGGCTGGACGGTCAGTTCTCACAGGGGCTGACTCCACTCTGTTACTTTCCTCTCCAGATTGCAACAAGACGTTTAATTTTGATCACAAGAATGATTTCACAGAGTGTTTTCTCATATCTTAGCAGCCACGGGGTGTTAGTGGTGTGCAGAAGGTGTGTAAGGGAAGTGGACAAGGCAAGCTAGACTGACCCTATAGAATATTTCCTCTGCAGAGTCGCCAAGTTCTAGACTTTTAAAACCAAGCTAGATTCAAAATCTGTTCATTTGCAAATGAACAGATGGGTCAACTCTGAGTTTTCCAGACTTCTGCTTCCTTTCCTACTCTATTTCCTCAACACCCTGCCATATCCGACTGCTTGCAGAGAAGGAGAATCGGAGTGAGGAAGCCGTGCTCCTAGGCATCTGGTGGAGGAGGCCGAGGTTGAGGTTGAATCGAAACACAGTCTGTAGGTGGCGTTGCGTGGTCAGAGGCCCAGACACAGTTGCTATGGTAGCAGCTGCAGCCACCCATCCAAGCAGCTCACAGAGTTGAAGACTCATATTGACATGAACTCCAGGGGGCTCCCAAAGACAGAACAAAACTGATGTTTAGTCCGCTTGTTACAGCTTCTGCTGCTGTAACAAAATGCCATAGATGTGCAGCCTGAACCACAGACAAGTGTTTCTCACAGTTCTGGAGTCTGGGAAGTCTAGGATCCCTGGTGAGAGCTGTCTTCCTGGTGGCAGGTGGCTGCCTTTTTACTGTGTGAAGACACAATGGAGAGAGCAAGTCCTGGTTCCTCTTCTTATAAAGTCACTAATCCCATCATGGGGGCCCCACCCTCATAACTTTACTGAGCCCATTTACCTCCCCAAAGTCCCACCTGCAAATTAGTAATTAGAACTTCAACATGTGAATTTTGTGACACAAACATTAAGCTCAAAACAGGTGCTCATGAGACACTGGAGACAGAGAAGTTGTACCCTCCACCCAGGAACCCCATGAGACAGGGTCACAGACATACTGTAAACAGCTTCCACCCCACAGTCCCTGTCCTGTGCTGTTTCCTCCCTAGAAGAGCAGGAGTGTCCTGTCCACCGTGGGTCCTCCAGTGGCTGCCGTCCTCACTTCTTTCCTCAGCTCACCCTGCAAAAGAATGCGTTCCCCAGGGTAAGGTCCAGTCTTTTGGGAGATGTCAACAGGCCAAAGGAGAGAAGTCACCGGAACCTGCTTGTTGTGGCTGATTTGCCAACCGTATTGATTTGTACAGAACAGTGATAGGTCATGGGAGAAGCCTCAGGTCCTGGACCCCCAAACTTCTCAAATGCTTGGGTTTGCATGTTTACCCCCAGCCCACACCTTCCCCTCATTTGACTCCACCTTCAGGTCCACTTTGCAGGGCCTCCTGGCACCTCACGATCTGGAAAGTGGTTTGGGTGGTAATGTTTGTGTCTGGTTTCCTTCCTTTACATCCTGGCAGCAGATTACTTCAGTTATTATCCTTCGGTGAACCAAATTCACAAAACATCCAACACTTATTTTTCACTATCTCTTTTGCCAGTATTAAAATGAGCTGAATCTTCCCTCTGCTCTCCTTTGGTGCTGTTTGTTATGCAAGTCTAGTTTATTTCAAATGATCTCTACTCACTTCTGAAGTACTGTTTGAATGTGGCTATGCTAATAGAGTTAATGGTCAGGTTTTCAGTCGATACTTGACTTGCCAATAGGCTCACCCTGGCTGAACCCTGGACTGCTGACCAGGAGGAATTCCTTTTTAAAATAAGAGCTCAGATTTTCTGGTCCAACATGTAAGCAGCTTAGAAATTGCCACTCTTCTTAGCAAAAAGTAAAAAAAAAAAAGTGGAACGACTAAAAATCAACTCTTAAATCCATTAGAAAAATTAGGTCACAGGCAGACTTATGTTCCTCAAAGGAGAGAGAGACCAGTGGGTACAAAGAGTCCTGACTCAACATAGCAGGAATCCACATGCTTAGGAAAAACTGAACTGTAATTGACAAATTGCTGGAGGCTTAGGATGGTGAAGTTTGAGGATCAAAAACTCCAGGGACCCCTCATAGGCACAGGTGTACCCCCACACTACTTGTGAGCTTTATCTCCAAACCTCTAACCTCTACCAGGCCTGCACAGTGAACACCCCTCCCTACAACATCATGTCTATCATTTAATGTCAAAGTACACCAAGCGGAAAAAGAGGCACACACACACACACACACACATACACACACACACTTTGAATAGAGTGAAAAAAACTTCAGAATCAGAGTCAGATATTGCAGGGATATTAGAATTATCAGATTTAAGTTTTAGTGGTTTAGTTTTTTTTTCTGCCACTATAACAGAATGCACAGACTGGACAAATTATAAGAAAAAAATTTTTTTTGGCTTATGGTTCTGAAGCCAGTAAGTCCAAGATTGAGAGATGGCATCTGGTGAGGACCTTTCTGATGTATCATAACATGATAGAAGGCAACACATGGCAAGAGATCAGGCCAAATGCCTCTTTTATAACTAACTCAACTTCTGTGATAACAGCTTTGTCTCATTTATAAGGTTGATATTTTCATGACCTAACAACCGTTTAGAGGGCTCATCTCCTCATCACAATGACAATTAAATTTCAGTATGAATTTTGGAGGGACTTTCAAGTGATAGCAAATAATATTTCAAGATTATTATTAATATGCTAAAGGCTTAAATAGAAAAAAAATAACATGCAAGAACAGATGGGTAATGTAATCAGAAAGATGGAAAAATCAAAAAGAAGTGTTAGAGATAAAAATGTTGTAAAAGAAAGAAAAATGCCCTCTATGGGGGCACTAATAGACTGAAAACTACGGAGGAAAATCTCTGAACTTAAGGTATATTAATGTAAATTTCCCAAATGGAGAACCAAAGAGAAGCATGCTGTAGGATAACTATGAAGGTGTCACATGTGCAGTGAGAACTCTAGAGGGAAAAGAGAGTCAGGAGCAAAAGCAATATTTGAAGCAACAATGAATCCCAAAGTTAATGTCACCAAATCACGGTTCCAGGAAGCTCAGAGAACACCATGTGGGAGAAATACCCCAAACAAATCCACCGAGGCATGTCATTCATAGTCACACTTCAGAAAACGAAAGGTCGCTCTGGTTTCAACGTGGAACGTCCACCAAAAGCCAGGTGTCACAGACTCCGTGTCCAGCAGGTAGTGCTATTGCAAGGTGGTGGGACCTTGAGGAGTGGAACTTCAGGGAGGTCTTGGGTCACTGGGAGTGTGTCCTTGAAGGGGAGAGTGGAACCTTAGGCCCTTCCCTTCCCTATCTTTTGCTTTCTGGCCTTAAGGTAAGTAGCAAATAGAATTACACAAAATGCCCAATCAAAATCCCCAAAGGGAAGAAAAAGTGTGAAGACAAAATAGGGACAAAGAACAAGGATAAGAAATAAAAAACAATAGCAAATATGATAGATATTAGTCCAGCTTTATCAGTGATCACTTTAAACATCAGCTGTCTGGATACACCAAATAAAGACCAAGATTACCAGAGTGATGGGAAAACCAGACCTAGTTCTATCTTATCTAAAAAAAAAAAAAAGCCTCTTTAAATGTAAAGGCATAGAGATTAAAAGTAAAGATGTGGAGAAAGATGCACCATGCTAACACTATCAAAAGAAGACAAGAGAAATGTCTTAATTTCAGTCGAAGCAGATTTGGGAGCAAGGGAAGTTGTCAGGGATGAAGAAGGAAGTTACAAAATGGTAAAGAGGTCAATTCTCCAGAGGACGCAACAACCTTTAGTGGGTATGCACCGAACAATAAGCAAAAGACGATGAGAGGAAGAAGGGATAGAACCAGAATTATATGGATCCACTATTATAGTTTGAAACTTTAACCCATGGCAGGTAGAAGATCAGTCTAAGTGCATGGTTAAACTCAACAGCACCTTCAATCAACAGGATGTGATTGACGTCTACAGCCAGCTCCATCCAACACAGCACAGTCCACATTCTTCTCAGTCCACATGGAGATTTTGCCAAGATGGACCACATTCTGGGCTATAACACACACCTTAGCAAATTCAAAAGAGTAGAAGTCATACAGTACCGTTCTCAGAACAGAGAGGAATTAAACTGTAAATTATAACAGAAGGAAGATGGCTGGAAAATCCCCCAAATACTTGGAGTTTAAACAGCATACTTCTAAACAGCACCTGGGCTAAAGAAAAAAATCTCAAGAGTAATTTTTTAAAAAATATATTTTTAGTTAAATAAAGATGAAAATACAACTTATCACAGTTTTGGGATACAGTGAAAGAGGGCTTATAGGGAACTATATGAATATGGCATTGAACATATTTACACAGGAGAAGAAGAAAGACCTAGAATCAATAATCTAAGCTTGGACCTTCCCAAACTAGAAAGAGTTTGGGCCTGGGGTTGTGGCTCAATTCTTCTCTGGAGAATTGACCACTTTATCATTTTGTAACTTCCCTCTTCATCCCTGACAACTTCCCTTGCTCCAAAATCTGCTTCGACTGAAATTAATACATTTTTCTTGTTTTCTTTTGAAACTAAATCCAAAGTAAGCAGAAGAGAAATAATAAAGGTTAGAGCTAAAATCAATAAAATTGAAGACAGGAAATTAACAGAGAAAAATCAATAAAACCAAAAGGTGATTCTTGGAAAAGATCAATAAAATTGATGATCTTATGGGCTAATGAAGAACATCAGTTAGATGACCCAAACTACTAATATCAGAAATGAAAGAAGGGACCATCACTGCAGAACCCTGGACATTAGAGCGATAATAAAGGAAGACTGTGAACAAATCTATGGGTCAGTTCCTTAAATAACACAATCCGCCCTAACTCTCCACACTAATACAGAGAGAACAGGCAGGGAAGCTCTTCTGAATAACACCACAATTGTGGTTACTAGTGCCATATATATTTTTCCAAACCCATAGCATACAACATTAAGAGTGAGCCCCAATGTGAACTATCCTGCTTAAAAGATGAGGAGGTTGGGCCTGGGGTTGTTGCTAGGCAAGTGGTAGAGCACTTGCCTAGCATGTGTAAGGCACTGGATTCAATTCTCAGCACCACATAAAAAAAATAAAATAAAGGTATTGTGTCTATCTATAGCTAAAAAGTATTTTTTTAAAAAAAGACAAGGAGATCAGGACTCAGAAACACACAGGAGAGCCCTCATGCAGATGCAGGGAGAAGACACCATCTATAAGCTGAGGAGGTTGGTCCCAGAAGAATCCTCACCTGCTGACACCTTGATCTTGGACCCCAGCCTCCACAACTGTACGAGAATAGATTTCTGTTGTGAAGCCACTCAGTCTGTGGTATTTTGTTACAGCAGCTGTAGGAAACTAATACAGTAAATACTCACACATCATAGGTGGGGAGGTGGACATCCTGGGGCTTGGGAGAGCATTATTCAGCCTACCCCAACCACCACAGTCAAGTCATCCAAATAGCTGCCAGTTACTGATGCCGTGGGCCACGCGGGCACTTTACCTGTATCATACCATCTGACTTGTTGGGTAGTGGCTGACCAATGAGCATGGCTCCCAGATAACCTTGTCTTATCACTAGTGAGAGATAAATCAGGGCTCCCCGCCCTCAGCTCTCCAATCCTGTCCTCCCTAAAGAAGAAAAGAAATAATCCGTGGAGCCACAGAGAGGAAGCCAAGGGGGTGAAGCCGCACTGTGGGCCTGAGGGTCCTCAGGGTCTGCTTCTCACAGAGCAGCTGCCAGCCCACGCCACGCTCCTCCTGCCCCACAGAACATGCCTTAGGTGGCTCCCTAAGCCAGTCCAGCAACCTGGGTCTCTGAGTGCACACGGGACTCTGCAGGGGGATGGACCCTGTCCAACACCCAGTCTTGCCCGTCTGCTTTGACTTCTCTAAATGGAGGAAGGACCTGGGGTTTTCAGCTCTGGCACAGACTGGCGCTGGGGTACTTTAAGTTCTCCTTTGCCCATGGCCCTGGCATTCTTTATTTGATATCCAAATAGACACTCCCTTGGCTCCCATTCAACAGAAAATTGGCCTTCCTAAAAGCCAAATAAAACCTCCCTCAGAAGGAAAAACAAACCTCATGAACAACAGGACATCTGAGCCTTAGGTGCTGCCGAGGGGAGGCTTTGTGGGTGCCCTGGGGAGGAGGGAGGGGGAAAACAGAGCTGTTTTGCGAGAGTAGCTCCCGAGCGGCCAGCGGGCCCCTGGCCGGGCCAGGGTCGCTAGGTGGCAGCGTTCGCTAAGCACAGCTCAGGGAGCTACCAGGGCCTGGGCTTGTGGAGAGAAGAGCAGCCTGGGCATTTGTGCCAGATCCCGCTAACTAGGTCACGGCTCAGCTGGAAAGTGGGTGCAGTTCTGTGGGCAGGAGCAGGGCTCTGCCTGGTGGCTGCGGTGCAGAGACCACCTGCCCGCCCTGCCGGCTCTGGCTGCCCTCCTTTCTTTCCTTGGCCACCCCATTCCTCCTCCCGTTTCCTGGGGGCATCCTGCAGTTCGACACCCTTGGGCTTCAGGGGACACTGGAGGTCATACCTCACATTCTCGCCCATGCGTCTGTCAGAAGCCTTCCACTCTCAACCCTGCAGATGGTGGCTTCCAGGAGGACGGGACTGAGTTTCAGGAAAACACACTGTTAGAGAAAGCGTTAAATTAAAACCAATAAGTAAACAAGATTAACCGAGATCTCACCACATGTATCTGTCTCTTGTGTTTCCTTTAAAATCTCATGTGGAAATCTTCCTCTGACCCAGAGTGACAATGTTGGCTGGCCATGGTCACTCTCACATAATAACAAGCTCTCTGGCCAGGGTCACCCCATAGACTCAGGACTTTAATTTGGATGATGCTGTGCTTGGACACATGTGTCGTGCACACCAACATATGCATACTAGCACAAGTCCCCCACGCAGGTGGCACCCCAAGCCCTGGGTCGCGGCCCTCTCCTCTCCTGTCTCAGGCACAGGGGGGTTGAGCCTGCCTGCAGGGGGCAAGGGTCTGAGATTCTGCTCTGCATGTGCACAGCGGGGAGAGGGCTGTGATGCTGGAGGCAGAGGTCACAGTTACAGGTCCCCAAGTCAAGGAAGGCCCAGGGCTGCTGGAGTCACCAGGGACCAGGGGGGACGCAACCCTGTCCACCCCGGACTCCACACTTTTGGCCTCAAGAACTGTGAAAGAAAATCCACCTGTCCTATCAGGGCCTGTTTGTGGTCCCTCCCCATGGTGGCCCTAGCAGGTGAATACACTGGCTTGCTCCCTGCCGACCTTGTGGAGTCCCAGAAAACACCCATGTGTCTTTTGTCCCCAGAAGTTCTGAGCAGGCCCGTCCCCCAGAGCAGCCCTCTCCTGTCCCTGCCCCAAGGCCCTTGGACAGCTCTGCTCTGTCTTCTCCATCTCCTGGAGGCAGTTGGCCCCGGGCTCTGTGCTTTTCCTCCTCAGAGCAGACACGAGTCCTCAGTATCAGGTGTCCCCCGGACCTTTCTACCGGGCACCAGCCCCTCCTGCCCTTTCCCAGGGGTGGGCTCCTCCCTCCAAGGAGCTCTCTTCGCCCCCTCCTCCCCGAAGCCTTCCTCCCTCTGACACTTGGCAAGTTCACTGTCATGCCAAGAAGTCCGTGCCTCGGCCACAGGCTCTGCTTCGTTTCCTCCGAGAATTCTGCAGAGAAGGCAGCGGCAGGGTCTTCACGCTCTATCTTGTTCTGCAGTCCCATTCTGTTTGACACCATTGAGATAGGACTGTCCCCCAGGCACTAGGAGACTAATACCTCAATGATATTAGGGCATTCTCCTCATGGCAGCACACCCCGTGCCCTAGGAGGAAGCCTCACACTCCTCTCTTGTAAACGTTTTCAAATTGAGCTATGATAAATAATAAGGAGTCGAGTGCACTTGAACATACATCTTGAGTGTCTGTCTAATAATTTGCTTGGGAAGGTTTCCTAGAGGCAGAATGACTGGGACAAAGGACACACCCTTCATTTTGGCGCAGGACATGACAAAGGTACGTGTGCAGGAAACGTATCGCTCGAAACCTGTAATTTCTGTAACTATTATTTTATACTAGTTGGTACAAGACATAATAACTCTGTGACTCACTTACACAACGGTGATTACAGGTATTCTACCTGGTTCCGAGAACCAGGTGCAAACAGGTACTTAGGCCGTCTGGGTCACACTTCGATATATTTTAATGGTAACTAGGTCACATCCCTCAATTTGGGTGCCAGCCATGTATTCAAATGTGTTTCTCTCTGATTTTTCTTTTATTGGTCTCAACTTTGAAAGTAAATTCTGAGATAGAGCAAATCATCCTGAAGCACTTGGACCAGAAGTGGTTTGGGTCACTTTGCTCCTTTTTTGATGCTTAGTAAGTCAAGGCTGTGGCTGCTGGCCATCCTGGGGCCCCGGGAAGTCTGAGTACCTTGGAGAAGGCAGCAGAGAAAGGTCAGTGAACTCTGTTCCTCAGAGTTAGAGCGTCTGGGCCTCAACTCGTGCTCCATAACGTCTAATTATTTGCTCCTTGGGAATGTTTGAGTGTCACTTAAAGTTGATGACATATTCTGGGCAACAAGGATAGTGGGATAAAGCCCAACATTTCTGAGATCCTATCCTCCTGTCACTGTTCAAATGGCCCATTTGGAGGCCATCTGCCCTCCCATGTCTAAGTACTGAAGCAAGTGCATCTGAACCACATCATCTGGACAAGTCCTGCAAAGTACTTTGCTCCAAAATGGTATCTTAATTGACGACCTTGCCAAAATAATCACCACGAAGATAATAATTACATACAGCAGATATAAGTACGGCTGGGGCCTGCCCATCTTTTTCCATTTGCATAAAACACTTGATCATTATACAAACTTCTATTTTGATACACAAGGTTATAATTAAAAACAATGAAAGAAATCATACAATTATGACTTAACCAGCCATTGTGCTGAGGCACAAATGTGATCACGGCCTGTCATGAACTTAAATTAAGAATCTGTGCAATACTGACACAGTCTAGAAATGACTTACAGAGTTTCATCTAGAAAGAAGTTGATTAGCACCGTCGTTAAAGATTCATTGTTACTTTGGCCAGGGACTATTGACTGGTACTCTTGGATTCTGAGTTAAATGCACACACACATATGTATGTACACAAGCACCCGTGCAACACACTAAAGAACACAAGACAGATGCAGAGCAGCTCTCCACTTGCCTGTCTTTGCACCTCTATCCTGGGGTCTCCCTGTACCACGTGGAGGGGAGGCCTGTCCTAGGGAGATTCCCTGGGAAAGGTGAGAGTTCTCATAGAACATTCCTTTGAAGTTTGGGAAGAGGCAATAGACACTGGTCTTGGAGTTTTACCTGGGATCTAGAAGATCCAGAAACAATTAGCTTAATTATCTGAAATTATTTGTCTTTAAAAAGTGCTTCAATCTTGGTTTCCTTAATATGCCCAAGATTTAATTTGTTTTTCACTTCATAAAGCCTGTGGAGTCTCGCAGTTGGATGAGCCTCTCGAGCTTTCTGCAGCCGAGGACGATGTCTCTCCACACTCCTTTCTCGTGCTCTCGGGCATTGGTGGGAAGACCATGACTGGTTCAGAAATGGCCCGACTCCTTCAGGCCAGGGCAAGCAAGGAAGAGCTGCCGGAGGCGGCTGCGTAATCGTCCTGCTCTCAGGCCTCTCCTTCCTCTACAAGGCTGGAAATAAAGTTGACCATGGCAGAGGGCAGGGCTGGGAGGACCAGAGTCGTGGAACCAGAGGCACTGGACACCCTTAGCCTCAGGCCTCGCCTGCACTTCTGGGCTGCTGCAGTCTTTATTGCTTAAGTCCCGTGGAGCTGCCGGGTAGTGCAGGGGTGTCAGTGTGGGACTGTCACCTTCAACACGTCTCGCCTTGCTCAAGAAACCAGAGTCCATCCCACAGGGCTGAAGGGCTGTCCCAGGTCATGGGCTCCTTCGTGCAAGGTCAAAAACAGGACCCAGTGTCTGATGGCCAAAGCGCTGTCCACCTCACAGCCTCAGGAGCCTGGCAGGTCTTCCCAGGCCTCTCCAAATGTGCTGCCAGAGTCTCTGAGGGTCTTGGGCGCTCAGAAAAGTAGATGAAATCAGGAAGCAGTGTTTGTTTGGGGACCGCCTCTTCACAACCCAAGGGGCCGAGGTCCTTCTTGAGCTTCCTCAAGCCGCAGGTGCGTGTCTGCCAACAACACCTTAGGGTTTGAGTACTTGCTGCTCCTGACTTCCACCCGCCTCTTGCTGTTGTGGGCTCACCAGGGGCTTCACGTTCCTGAGCCACTTGACACACTCACTCACTCCTGCCCTGGCCTGAGCCTCCCAGGAAAGGGCGGACCCCTCCTGTGCCCTGGCCTTTGTCAGATAGTGTGAATCTGCTGTCCTGTTCCCCACTTGGTGGCTTGTACTACCCTTCCTCTGACCCCTCCCTCACAAATGCACTTTTGTTCTCATGATTTCTCTGGGTAGTAGGAGAAAGGGAAAGTGGGCTAAGCACCAACTGGACAGATGACCTGTCTTTGCAACTGGGAACGCCCTTGCTCATCTGCTTGTGGGGGCAGTGATTCCACCAAGCGCCATTCCTGCCCCTGATGCTCCGCAGCCCCAGCCACCTCTCTGTGACCTTTTCAGAGTGACTGGGGCTCTGTCCACACATAGATCTTGGGCTTTTGGCCTTCATGTCTGTGAGTCAAGAAATTTCTAGGACAGCCAGTTGGGGTCCTTTGTTATGGAAGCCCTCGGAAGCAAACACAGTGAAAGTCTGGTTTTCCAAAGGTGAAGTTATCCCCTGGTGCACAACTTGGTTACCGCAAACTCGGCAGCTTAAAACGACATCTTGATTATTTCACGATTCCTGTGGCTCAGAAACCTGAGCAAGGTTTCGCTGGAGCTTCTGCTTTGGGTCTCTCACCGGCGCAGTCCAGTTGGCCAGGGCTGCTGTCTCACCTGAAGGCTTGACTGGGAAGGACCCAGGGGAACGGATGCGGCTGTGCCCCAGCAGTGGGGCCTGCAGGTGACCGTGGAAGCCCAGCAGGCTGCAAGGTAGCAGTGCAGGCTCGTCCACTTGGGCAGCAAGGGGAGAGCTCATCTTGGGCTGAAGAGTTAACTCCTTTAGAGACAAACAACAAGCATGTATTTAATAAAGGTCAGTCGTCACCTATTACCGCTTCTCTGGCAGAGTTTTTATATTTAGGGAGATGTGACATCTAAAAGGGATAGATAGGTGGGGTTAAGCTATATTATCATTCTCTTTTCCTGATATTTTAGGGAAATCTGAGATGAGACTTGGGTCCTCTCAGATGTTGGGACTGAAGGGGGAAAGCAGGACAAGAGCAGTGTGGCTGAGAGCTGGCCCCGGCGTGTGACGGGCAGCACTGCGGTGCTCTGGTGTGTACAGACCTGGCTCCTCTGCAGGGAGGCCTATCAGGACGCACAGGCACTATTTAACTACACGGAACGGCTACTGTACGCCACATGGTGTGCTTGGCCTGGAGGCATGGTAGATAACGAGACAAGTTATTTGGTTGAGGTTTAAAGGGGATAAATAATCAAAGCCACTGTCCTCAGACCTCTGAAGGGCATGACTTAGAAATCCGAGCATCAGTTACCAATGAAT